AAGTGAATTTTAGATGGATGCCTGCCTTGTACCCAGTGTGCCTCCTCTTTGTCATCCTCCTGCCCGTGGCTTCAGCTCTGCACTGGGATTCAGTCCTATCTGTATGAAGGCGCTGCTGGCTATTTAACAGACATAGAATTACTTGTAGCCAAAGGAAACCATAAACAGCAGAATCACTTCAAACCTTGCCACAGCTTGGAGGTGTTTATTACCTTTATCTACACCCTCACTGTCCTTTTCTTTCACAAGACTAAAGAAGTAAATAAAAGGAGTCTTCTCTTGCTATGCTAGTCAGGTTTTATCTCTGTTAGAGGCATGTTGTGCTCACTGCAAGCTGCAGGTGGGCTGAGGCACTGGTGCTTTGGGGAAATCATCCTCCTGCCAGCACCAGAGCCTTGCTCAATCATAGAATCCTAGAATGGTTTGGGTTGGAAGGGAGATCACCTAGTTCCAACCCCCCTGCCATGGGCAAGGACACCTTCCACCAAGCTAGGTTGCTCAAAGCCTTCTCCAACCTGTCATTGAACACTTCCAGGTGTGGGGCATCCACAGTTTCTCTGGGAAACCAGTGCCAGAGCCTCATCACCTTCACAGGGAAGAATATCTGCCTAATATCTAATCTAAATCTCCTCTCTTTCAGTTTAAAGAGCATTATCCCTTGTATGACCTCCCAAGGGGAGTCATTACCCCTCATCCTGTCACTCGAGGTCCTTGTAAAAAGTTCATCTCCAGCTGTCCTGTAGCCCCCTAAGGTAGTGGGAGGGACTCTGTGGTCTCCCTAAGGGTACATGGGTACCCTGGGTACCCTGCACTGCTGCTACAGGCTGGAGCAGCAAGAAGAGCTGCTGGGGAGTGCTCAGGAGAGGTTCCTGGCAGAGCAGCTCCTGGCTCCTGGCACAGAGGGGTGTCCATCCAGCCCTGGTGCAGGGACAGGCAGGTGAGCTGAGGGCATGGGCAGCCACTGGCACAGGTGGGGCTGGTTCAGCTGCTGGAGCTGCACCTCCTGCTTTCTAAGCTTGTGGGCTGTACACAGCAACAAAATGCCACTTACCATATTTCAGGGAAATTGGTTTCCATCAGGAAATGGAAATCTGTTAAAACTCTGTGTGCAAATCGTTGATTTTGGGTGGAATATTCCACTGGGAAATCTGAAAAGGCATTTCACTGACTTGGAACACTTCGGGTTTGGTCTATATTTAGTTCCAGGCTCACCTGGGCTGTCGGCATTTTCTGTGAGCAGATCTCCATTTCCAGGGGCATGGTGTTGGCCTTGCTGAGGCTGACTCATCTCCAGGGTTTGGGCATGATGGGAGGGGAGCACAGGGTGCAGAAGCTGAGGGGAAGAATGGCCCCACGACTCCTGCAAAGGCAAACAATACCTCAGCTGCAGACAGGCATTAATGTCAAAGCCAGATCTTATTAAAGGCAAGGCTTCTAATTTAAATTTCCCTGAGCATTTGCTCACTTCTTGTTTTGCTTCCTCTTCTTCCCCCTAGAATGACCCACAGTAATGACAAAATATCAGAACTTGGGGGAACTGGAGTTGACATTGTTTGGATGGGGTCAATTTTAAAGCTTTACTGTTCATGCCTTTCTTATCCTATGGTTTTCAAATAGAAATATACACATACCTTAACAACAAAAGACTATAATGACTGCATTGTCACCAGATAAAACTGTACTAAAAATAAATAAATGCTGCAGTTTAGCATGATTCAGTAGGCAGGGTCTTTATTATTCTCCCACCATTGAAAGGAAGATTCAATTTTAGCATAATACACTCCATCTCTGTAGCATTCCCTCATTTGACTGGGGCTTCTTTTAGAGTTTCTATCTGCTCATGAATGCAGAGGGTTAAGAATAACCACTGGTGTGAGTGTTGTGGTCACTGATGCATGTTTTTAAGTAGCAGGACACAGTGAAGAATCTTGGTTTAAGTGTAATAAAAGTGAGGTCCCGATTTGTTAATGAGGAGCATTGTCTGCTGCAGACACTAATTTCACTACAGGGTGCAGTCTTCAAACTTTTCATTCTAATTAGAATGCATTTCCATATTCTTTATCAATTTCTTCCCTTATTGAAATCTTCTCAAATGACCTTTTTTTCTTCACTTATGACTCATCCAAAGATTTTTATTTTTCCCCAAACAATCATTCAGATGCAACTGCATTTTTCCAGTAAACACGTTAAAAAATAAATGACCTTGCCAGCTCATGCCTACACAGTGGGAGAAGGGCATTAGCAGTGCAGAGGCAGCTACTAATAATACATGGGAAAATTAAGTATGGGAGAAGACCATCTTCTTCTAATTCCTTGAGCATTTAATTTCCAAATGCCCTGCAGTAGAATGTGTCTTGAGTAGGAGCTTAATGGCTGCCAATGGAGTTCCAGCAGTGGGAAAACAAGTCCCGACAGAAAAGGGGGCATTTTATGCACATAAGAAAATAGGTTATCTGCTAAGGAGGTTTTTTTTTTTTTTTCTTCAGTACTCCACAGCTGTGTCCAGTTCCAATTTCTATAATAAAGTAAATTATTAACTCAAGTTGACGAATTGGTTGGTGTTGGTAATAGGCTTTCAAAATGATTAGTGATATATACTCATTACCCAAATTAAAAAGCCATATTAAAAATAAGGAGAGGAAATGTAGCAACATTATCAAAGTAATAATTTCTATTTAGTGCATATCTTTCCTGAACTTTGGCAAATGCTGAATTATGCAAGACAAACACTAATCTGAAAGCGTTCTAATTAATGATGGTATTTCTTTGCTATCAAATTAAAACCAACACATTCACAGTGCATCTGACTTAAATGTTATCACAAGTTCTTCACACTTTGAGGAAAATTGTTGATATGTTTGAAAATATTATACCTACACCCAAGCTACCAGGCTTGAGCCATGTTCTTCCCTTGCAGAATAATTGTTAATGGGAAAGACCTATATAAATCAAAGTTCAACCAAACATTTGTTTTGTTATTCAATCATCTCAAGGATAATAATAATAACAACAACAATATAATAATAATCAAAACAAACCCCAGAGATGAGTATCTTGACTTCAATTAATCACAGTGCTTTGTAATCCAGGGTTTGCTATGGTTTTCACCAACTAACAGAATCAAGCAGTTGCTTTCACTTTAAAGATGCTTTATAGATGAAAACACATTTACAAAATTTCTCTCAGAATAAAACAATAATCAGGTAGCTAATTAAGCACATTGTAAGTGCTGAGCTTCTGAGTTAAAGACCTGTCCAGGCTGCAACATCGTTTTTACTTTATTATTATATGCAGAAAGCTAATAAAAATATAATTTTGAAAAAAAAATCACATTAGTGATTTGCCAGAGTGAATATAGATGTCAAAAATGCTAATGCAGAGAAGCTGTCAGGAGTTTAAATAGATTTTTCACTGACTTGCCGTTCTTAATTATAGCTCAGCACCCTGTACAGGTTAAAAATGCCGGGTTCCTTCGAAACAAACTATGAGCTCCTTACCATCTCGTCAAATTCTCCTTCTCTTCCTTTCAAATGGATCAATCAGATGCCAACACATAACATTTTTCATTTACATCTTTTCTTAAGCTTCCTTATCCACTGCAATTATATTTTTACCCAAACCTATCCTGAAGGGGATAGAAGAGATTTCATGGAAGAAGCGTAATTGGAAATTGAGCTTGTTCTTTCATGGGCTTCTTTTATGAGAAAGGATAACGTTTTGTGTGGTAGAAATTCAGCAGTTAAATTAGGGGGTATGCTGGCTACTTAGTTAAATAATCTAGAATAATCAGGTCAGGAGGGAATAGCACATAGCTTTCACTTAATGTTTTGTATTAATTTTTCAGATAATGTAATTCCACGTACTAACCAAGCATTCAAGAGTGCATCAAAAAAGTGCTACGAACTGGAGGATTGACAGGTTGCTAATCCAATCCTCTGACAGTCACAGGGTGACATGTAAAAGAGATCCTTTGTTCTTTAAGAGCTGATTGAGTTCCATTAGTATCCATATTCAGAGCCCTGGGCACAATATTAATGCTAATACCGTTGTTACGGAGATGGAAATCCGTTAAGAATGAACAATAATCAGCTCACAATATCACTGGACATATTCATGCAGCTTGTAGTGGGGTGAGATCCGATAGCTCTAAACCTTTCTAAAGAGAAGACGAAAATCCAATTAACATCTTCTGTGTAAACCTCCTCAGCTACTTTCACTGGAGATGACCTTGGGCAGCTGTGTTGCAATTTTGCCAAACCTCAATTATGTCTTTAATTCAGCAGTGTTGTTGGGTTTTGCCCAGACAGAAGGCCTGGCTCTGCAGCCCACCCCTCCTGCTGGGTAGGACTTGCTCGCACAAGTCACCTCAGCAGCCTTTGGCATGTTCTGCCCTGAGCTGCAACACAGACAGGCAGCAAACAGACTCAGGGCTTTACACATCCCTGGGGATGTTCAGGCCAACTGGCAAGAAAACTCCTTTTCTCTTGGTCTCCCAACTCCTGTAAAAAAACTCCCAGCTCTTAAGTCATAGAATGGTTTGTCTTGTAAGGGACCTTAAAGATGATCTGGTTCCAGCCCCAGCTGTGGGCAGGGATGCCACCTGATGTGTCTATTCTGGGTGAGACAGGTGGTGAGCCCTGGCAAAGGGTTAATCACATCGTGCTGATGACGGATATGGTGAGGAGAAGAGATGCCCCCATTCAGGACTCCTCTCCAGCCCAAGGTTCAGTGGCAGATCAGACCTTGCAGCACAGTTCCCTGGACTCAGGGTTGTCCCGCCTATATTCAAAGGAAAATACACTCCTTTAGAACGAAGTTTCCTTGCAATCAGTTTGAATTGAATCTAGAAAACTCTAATTATCAGCAAAATTTAGCCTGATGGGGGAAAAAAAAGGAGTGTTTTTCTTCGTGACAGGATATGAATTTACCTGCAACAATTGCAGGTAAGCAAACATAAGTTTTCAAAGCCTGTCCTCCCTTTCTCTTTTGTTTTTGACAAGAAGCCTGCAATTAAACTAGAAGATACTTCATGACAATGAACCCTCATCCTGGTGGCCCCATGGCTCAAGGCTTCCACAGGCAACATCCTCCATCGCAAGGTCTGGTCCTAATCACCACGAGCAGGACTCTGAAAGGAGCGAGGACCTTGATGGAAAGAAGCACATTCATTCCCAGGACAGCTTCTGGACATTAAGCTTTTCCCTCTTGTAACTGAACAATCCACAGGAAAAGAGGTAAAAGACTTGTTACTGACTATGTTAATGCCACAGAAATGTTCAATATGAATGTAAGTTGTCTTCAATCTGAATCTTTGTTGCAGCTGCTGTCAACACCACAAGTGAAGATCCCAAAATATAAAGCATTTTGAACTCACTCTTTTCATTTCCTTTTCATTATATGAGGACGATACTGCCTTATCTCAAAGACACACTTGCATATTTGCACTCTATAATGGAGAAACAGCACTACATACAGGTCCCTAAAAGTAAACACCAAACTCTGTAAATCTTGCATATAATTAGGAAATTTCTTCTGGATTTGTTATTTTTTCCCCAAAGCTGTTACTGCTTGATTTGGCTGTCATCTGTGTCACTTCTATGGAAAGATTTTCTGCGTTAGAAAGGGAAAATCAGAGCAGCAAGCTAATAACTTGTTACAATAGGGAGATTTAAGGAAGAAAATAATGAAGCAGAGCTGCTGACAGCACTGTGGTAGCTGTACCTCCTCCTTAAGCGGAACCAGTTGGGATCACCCTTTGTTTTAGAAGGTCTCTCTTAGAAAGAACCCACACAAACCCTGGACCGGATGGACACAAACATCCTTCAGACTGAAGAAAAAACAGCTTCCCCCATAAATATCCCCAGCCCAAGACCAAGGAAACAAATTTGGTATCAACTTCATAGCTTTAATTTCCTAGTATATTAATTTTGGCCATTCAATCTCACTGATTTGTTTAGTCCATCTCAACTGTGACCTTGATTCGATTGCTTAATTGGCTTAGCAAAGCCTGGATGCATCAGCTCTGTAAGGCGCTTGCTTATTCTTTCTTGTAAGACCTATACAAATAAACAGGACTTATTTCACATTAAATGTCAGTCAAGCCTAGAAATCCCAGGCCAAAGATAATCTCAGGCATATGGAGGGCACTCTCTAGCCTAGTTCGATCTTGCCTTGTTCAGATCTGGCAGTGTCTGAATGATGACATGTACCCTTCAGTACAACTTCCTAGTTTGAGATCACTGTCCAGTAACAGCTTGGCTGAGGCATGAGCTCTCATTTTTTTCTCAGATGACTGCTGTGGGGGTTGTTTCTGCTGGTAGAAGCAGAGTAAGGAGCAGCTGGTGGCAATACCTTCTGCAGAGACTGTAAAACTTTCTCATATGCTTCACTATCATCATTATACCTGACTGAACCCAATCTCTGTTGCTGATTTTAAGTATGCTGATGCAATGTACTGGCATTTCTGAATTTGCTTCATTTGCATTTAAACAATCAAGAGTTTTAATTAAAATGCATAAATGAATCATGCACTAGAAGCCCTATCTCCCATGTTATTTATTTTTTATATTAAACCTTCAATTTGATGGATAAGCACTGCCATTGGTCATTTCTGCTAAAATGATCCCATCAGCAGTGAAATATTTGACAAATTTGATGTTAAATTTTTCATCCCTAGCTTTCAGCACTTGTGGTCCATTGAGACAAATAGTATGTCTCACACTTTTCATCTGTTCTTTGAAGCTCCCTGGGACCAGCACTTTGTTAGAGAGGGAGAGGTATAGGGCAAAGGATGGTTTGAGATCCAAACTGCTCTCCTTATGGTTTTTTTATATGTCCTGGCACAACCACAGTGGTGAGAGTGTCCTTTACTTCTTCAGTGTCTTCCTTTTGTGACAACTATCACTTCTTTCTCTGTAGTGACAGAATTTGGGGGTTTGGTACTGACCTGTTGATGAAACAGAAAGCAATGTGGACTTTCTCCTAAGTGAAACCTATTTTTTAATGCTTTTTAAAAATTATTAATATTTTTACCCTATGACAGTGGTATCTGCAGTCACCACAGAAGTTCCTGCTACTTCCAGAACACATTACTTTGCAGCATGGTACTGAAATTTAACTCCAAGGAAAGTAATTTGTCCCAGGAACTGCATCCTATAGAGAATAAGGCAAAAAACACACTCTGCTGGTAGCTTCTCTCAGAGGATTACTGTAAAACTAAGCTAATAACAATGCAACATTCCTTCAAAAACTGAAATCTTGCTCACATGCTAAGAAGCTATAAGAGTAACAGCATCATCTGGTGGCTTCTGCCACAAAGAATGGATTAATTGATTTTTTTTTTTTTTTTGGTTCTACTTTCATTTAAATTCCTCATCTCTCAGGTGAGGCCAGGTCCTGGAGGAATGTGTGAGAGGAAAAACAGACGGAAAAGGATAAAAATGAGAGGAGGTAATAATGAAATCCTCAGCTATACTGAAACATTAAACTGCATCTGAATATCTCAGATCTTTTTAAAAGGATTTTTTAAAGAACACTGAAAAACACCATCCTCATTGAAGTCAAGCTTCATTTACGGCAATGCCAGATGGGTTGGGATTTTCGAAGCATGCATTAAGAACAGGAACAATGTTGCTAAAGGCCTTGAACCTTAGATAAGGATTGGTGTAAACCTCCACAAAAATCTTAAGACAATTCCTTTTCATCATTTCTTTTGTAAAAGTGTCAGATCAAATCCTTCAAACTCCTCCTGCATCTTCCTTTCAGAATTCTTATTAATGATCCTCTTAACACTTGGAGAGGTGGTATGTAAAAATGAGATGAACATACATTAGTTTTCAAAAGAGTTTCTGCTGTGAACAAGTGCTATTGTGATTATGACTGTAAAACAAGCTAATCCACCAAAGCTTACATCTATGGTTAGTGTAGTACTAGAGGCTGAATCAAACTGCCTGAGGTATTAAACCTCCCCGACCTAAATGGGCTGAAGTATTCCCAGAAGTGTCCAAGGTCCCTTGTAAGAAGTTTACCACAATCCAGGTGAAGCATAAGGGCCACACTAGCCCATAGAACCCAAAGTCCCCAGGATTAGTTGTTGCAAAGGCTTATTAACAAGGCAATAAAATGAAAATTATTCCTTCTGGCTTTATTGGTGCACAATGTCTGTTTTACATTCATACAGTTTCTGTCCTATCCTTGGCAGTTGTCTTCTTTGTTGTATTCTTACAAAGAGAGAAATATCAAAACATTAATTTAAGCTGTCACAATGCAAAGGGCTGACAGTCATATAAAGAATTATCATTGTGGCAGAGAATGGAGACAAGTTAGTGAAGGAAAATTAAAGTGACTAGCTAAACAGAACCAAACTTCTTGAAAAATCTAGGATATTGCCATGACAATTCGAATCACTCCAACTTTTTCTTTTTTGTGTTTTCAGCACTTTCCTACACAGTCTATTATCAATCTGATAGGGAAAAGAAAGAAAAAGAAATCACTTCACACATAGTCTAGTTTCAGTGAAATATGTATTTCAGAGGAGAAGATTCATTCTGTACCAGTTTGTGCAATAAGATAAATTGCAACTAACATCAATCTTTGTAATTTTCCATAATTGTAGAAGTCAGACTGACCAAGATTATAGCCTGTCTAATCTTTCTTGCTAATGCATACAATATAGAAATGTTTCTTTGTCCTCTCCAGGTCTTTTTTGGAAAACAAAAGTGATTCTTTTCTAGCAAACAATAAGATTCCTGCAGGTGGTGGCTGGGGGTCTCAAATTGCTTTGCATATTCTTAAGAATAATTTTAAATACTTTAAATAAGAAAAGGAAGAGAGTGGTTAAAAGAAGAAAACAACCACTTTACTCTTGTGTTATGATTTTCAGCTATAGCTCTTGGGACATTTTACTTTGTCTCTGATGAAAGTGAGAGCATGAAAGAGAGTCTCAAGGTGCACATCTATGCCCAGCAAGCCAGAGCACTGCAGCCTGACTAAGTTGTTTTCTCCAGGAAAAAAAATCAACAGAATCTTTGTCATAGGACAAGTTTTCAATGCTTAGTCTTGTGCTCTGGTGTCTCATCATATGCTACCCAGGTAAGAGGTGGAGGCTAAGAATTTAATGCACAGAGTTGGTGAAACTCCACATCCCATCTTCTACACAAATGTCTGCTGCCTTCTAGCTGTGGTATCTGCAGTGCAAATTAAGTCAGTCAGCATTGCAGTGGCTAACGGATCAGATTACTAATGAAGCATGAGTCCACAAGATTGCTTTATATAGTCAAAATTCATAATTAATTCCCATACACATAAGCAATCATTGAGTTCACTCAGCTAGCACATCAAAACCCAATGAAAACACCAAAGGCTGAGCAAATCAGTCTTCCCAAGGCAGATGAATGAGAGGCTTACATGACTAATGCCAGCAGGACAGAGGCACAAAACTCCCTGTGGATGTAAGGACATAAGATCCTTTCCACTTGTTCATCATCCTTACCTGTCTTTAAGTACTGTAATCCTGGAATTAGAAAAGCAGAGTGTTTAGAAACACCGCAGTAGGTTGTGTGTATATTCAGCAGCAGCAGGCACTCAATCCAATCAACGCCAAGACCAGCCTGCCAGCACTGCCTGCCAGAGCAGGTTGGCCAAGGCCTGGTGTGTCCTCGCAGGGTTGGACCCTCTGCACGGTGAAGTCACACCTAAAACATCGGTCCAGATCATGAGACAGAAAAAAAATACCAGGGAAGGACTGCAATCACTATTACTTTCCAAATAAATCAGATGTACATTAAGAGTTGGGAAAGCAGACAAGAAAACACTCAGAAATGTAATAAATGTGAATTGCTGCAGTCACACCAAATGTAGCTTCATTCCCCTAATTATATCAATTATTTTTTATGATTGTGATCTCAAAGATTTTAAGTTTTCTAAGAAGACTTATTTGCAAATCACTTTGATTACTACCTGTGCATATGTTTAAAAGCTTCTGCATATTTGGTTTGGCCCTCTGATCCCCCGTTGCAGCATCCTGAATCAGCTGGCAGAACATTAGGCACTTTAGACACTTCTACTTGAAGCATTCAGACAATCCTGGAATCATTGGAGCAACTCAAATGCAGAGTCTTTGTCTAAGTTGTCCTTTCACTGATCCCGGGGCTCTTATGACTGACTTTGCTTTTCCCATTCCTGTCTCTGTCTTTCATTTTTTAATCAGATATGTTTTACTGTGAGGAAGAATTTG